TTTAAACTTTGACTTCAAATTGAAAAAATTCTCAGTTTTTAGTTCCAGCACAGCCGAGGATGTTTTTAACGGCTCATTTCCCCCACTGATGATAGGAAATAAAAAAAAAAAAAAGAAAGGATCCCATTGGGCTCAAAACCTCCAAACCACAGCTCAGAAATGACAGAGGCGAGTTAAAAAGTACCTGCTCTGTTCTGTGAATAAGAGCCGGTAATGACTTGAAGGCACAGCCGCAGCTTTCAGCGGTTTCATTTGTGTTTACCGACGTGAAACTGTCTTCATGAGACACAGACGATCTGAAACCCAGAGCTGTGGAGGAGTTACATCTGCAGCGTCAGTAAATCTACACCTCTCAGCACTTTCAAATCAAGTCGCAGGAACTGTCTGATCGTCCAAACTGCTTAGTGTGTTTTTATTTAATGATGCAACGCACAACGTCACCTCCATCCTCTTGCTCTCTCTGCTGAAACACAAATTCATACGTTTCTCCGATTTGCTTTCTCTGGTCTCCCGGCTCGGATTGTTTTTTTCCTCAAGAGCCTGAATCCACTCCTCTGCTTCTCCTCAGGGTCAAACCAAAGTGAAGCGAGCCGGTCAGTGCTGCGACGAATGCGCCGCCGCCAAGGGAAGCTGCCTGTACGAGGGCGCGGTTCGTTACCACGGCGACATGTGGAACGGCACGGGCTGCGAGTTCTGCAGCTGCAACCGGGGTCAGGTCCTCTGTCGGTGGGCCGAGTGCGGCCGCGTGGAGTGTCCTCAGGTGAGACTGAAAGACGAGAGGAACTCAGAGACTCGGGCAGCAAGCGTCCACGTGAGTTTAAAGTGAAAACGGACCTGAGGATCCTCGTGGGCAGGAAAAGACAGATTTGTTGAGTTAAAAGTTTAGAGGGCTGAGGCAGAGCGCTCCAGAGCCTCTGTAAACAGTAGGAGGTATTCAGAGCGGCAGATCTAATCTTGTTTATTTCAGTGAAGCCTCCGCGGGCGGCTGACGGAGCGGCTAGGGCAGAAAAACACGAGGTCATCTGGCAGAAAGGTTCGGTATCAGTCGAACCATCACACAGGAAAAGAACAGCTCATCCATCCACACAAACCTCCTCCTTATACCGACTCTGTCGCTCTTTAAGAGACGTCAACTTCATTCCAACTTGGCCCCCATCAAAATCACCACGGCCGGAGGAGGAGTCTATTTTGTCCAGTCTAAGCCCAGTCTGACCGTTACGTTAAGTTTACACAGAAACACACAAACGTCTTCGTCTTGACATGTTGACACTAAAGTCATTATTTCGCCCCCAAAAATCAAAGTAATTCTCCTTCGATTGGAGATTTGAGTCTCCAGCTTTTAGTCTTTAGCTCGACAGACGCTTCACTGACATTCTTCACGTCTTCAAACAGCTTCAGACGCACGAGCTGATTTTTTTCCTGCTTAACCTTTTCTCCTCTAGTTCTCAAACGCCTTCCCCTCCGAAATGCAACGTGTCACCACCCAGAAATCCCATTTCCCGGCGTTCAAACAAGGGCCGCAAGGAAGTTAATGGAAGATGTCACTATCTTCACTGGTGTTAAGGAGGAAATGTGGGATGGATGGGGACGGGGGGGGGGGGGGGGGGGAGGGGGGCTGGTCATTGGAGGTTATGAGGTTGGCTGCTCCCATCAGAGATAACTCACTAAGTTAAGATGAAGTAAAGTGGACGACGACATTAAACCTTAATGATCAGAGAGGAAACCTGCCCCGCAGCATCGGCCCGTTAGTAAATGGAATGTGATTCAAGAGTAACTGACATGGATACAAAGCTTCTGCAGCTGATCTCTCACATCGAGACAAAAATGTTTTTTTGCGACAAGTTTCGTGAAGTGTCACGTTTAATTATGCAAATGAGGATTTATTAAATTAAATTTCCAGTGAACAAATCCGAACGTTCCATAAAGCCACGCTCGATACTCGCTTTCATTCTGTTTACACACTTTTTTTTTATAACACAGAGGAATTTTGGATCTCTCGTTTTTATCACTCCATAAATCGAGAATACTGTCAGCAGCCATAAAAATATCCATCCAATATAAAAAAGTTTTTGCCATATTTTTGGAAATGAAATGTTCTATAAATCAGGACCTGATATATGATAGAGATCCTCAGAGAAAAGCCCCAGAATATAGATGGGGAAGAACCTGGAAGCTTCAGTGTGTGGAGGCGGCGATGGTGCTGGAGATTTCAGGTTCAGAAAATAAAGAAATACTCCTTTAAACACACACACAACAATAGTAAAATAAACACTCGATCTGCCGGTGTGTTTTGGGGATTCTGGCCCCTGATCCAGATCAAGTTTTAATGCTCGTTAATCCAGTTGTTTTCGTGTAATCTCCTTTAAAACCAAACTAATTCATCAACAGGATTGAAAACAGAACAATTTGAGGTGTAAAAAAAAAGTGTCTCTATCTCAAAACTGGATCTGGACATTTTCAGGAGTTTGTCTTTCATGTGAAGAACGCGGCGGGAGATGGTGCGGGTCAGACTCTTATCAACGAAAACTCTCATATCTCATCTTTCCCAGTTGGCGTCTTCGTGGCGTTCTTTGTGTCTGGCTCTAGATATTTGCATTCTTCCAGTTTCCGCTCGCTCTCAGTGAGTTTTCCTGCTGAATTCTCTTCTCATGGACATTTTCACTCCGAGAGGCTGATGGGAAAAGTTCAGGAAAATATCTGAAAACAGCTTTTAGTGACTTACATTCGGTAAACCGACGCGGCCCGGCTCCGAGGCGTCCTCACATCTGCTTCAGTAGAAACATCCTCACAGGAAAAACAACAGAGGCTTCAGTGGAACTGCTCATGCGAAGACATGTATATCACACTTGGCCCAGTTAGGAATGTGGGACGCTGGACGTGGGAGTTTTTTTTAGGACAAAACAAAGCGTCGGTTCAGGTTATTAGCTGGTGTTCCCATAGTTACTCTTATCCCCCAAAATGACCCATTTTCTGGCGCCACATCGACTCACATCGACTCACATCCAGTGTTTTCTCATGTCAAGCAGATTTGATAATATTGCTTTAATATCCCCCGCCACGACCAACTAAGCCCTCATTAATCACGCTGCACCGTGATAATTACAGCTGGTAAGTGTCATTAACCGTAAGCAGCGTAACTGGCATTCGTCCAGCTCTGAGCGGAGCAAGGTCACTCTGCTGAGAAGCTCAGAGCCGCACAGATTCCACCCTGTGTGTGTTTGTGCGTGAAACAATCAAGACAAGGTTGCAGGTTTAATGACGACTGTGGGTCAATCTGGTGTGCAGTTACTGGAGGAGGTTTATTAGGACTTATTAGAGTGCACGGATAATTAAAAATAGTATTATTTCATATCAGGACAAAGCGTTAGTGATATTGTAACATGTATAATTCCAGTTGAGCTGTTTTCCGTATTTGTGAGCGATATAGGTCAAGAAATCAAAGATTCTTTGTGGACATGTGGAGGTGAGGACAGGTGTGTTCAGGATTACCAGTTCTATTTTTGCAGATTTTTATATAATTATATTATTTTAATTTGTCACATCAAAGCACAGTCGTTACATCAGAAGCATTTGAAATAAAGTGGAAGCTGCAGTTGGTTCCAGGAAAGGTTTTATTTATGTCATTGGTTGTGGGGACTGTCTCTGCAGAAATAAAATGAATCAAATCTAAATTGATGTGCATGAACGTGTTTTTTTGTTTTTCTTTCAGGGATCCCAGCTTGTTCATCTGTCTGGAAAATGCTGCCCGGAGTGTTCCTCTGAGAAACCGTCCTGTGTGCACGAGGGGAAATCCTACAAGGTACTTCTGTCACAGAACTCGAACTAAGTTTTGAGCTCGTTCGCACAAAAGCACGAGAGGAAAAGATAAAAAAATTAGGCAATCACTCTAAACTGACTGACTGAGACACGATGAGGCTTCTTCAAACTCTTTACTTCCACAAGAGGAAACGTCTCGCAGCAGAGGAGGCTCCTACACAAACTTTATACATCAACGTTAGTCTGGATACAAATGCTGCAGGATGGTCGGCCATGGTCGAGGCCGAGAGCAGACTGAGCTATTATTTACTTTCTCTCCTGGAGGAATTCATGCTAACAGTAGTAAACAAACACAGACAGGTACTGCATACTTATTACACGCCTACACTGATCAATACATGGCGTCTCAGCTCTGCCGTTGTCGTCAGCTGGGAGACATTTGCCTGAAAGGTTGACGCTACAAGTTTGTGGCTCGATAAATAACGGTTCAGACTCCAGAGGGACTTGAAAATAGCAGTGAGGGAAGTTAATCGGCCAAAATAAACCATGTTCGCCTCACGCTTGTTTTAAAGGTCCAGATTTATAGAAGACTGAAAGAACAGAAACACTGTTTTCACTTTATTTTCATAGAATATTATACATTAGCATAATCAGGAAACGATCACACTGAACTTGTTGGTGATACGTTGGTTAAAGAAGCTTCATCTTCTGTGTTACTGAGCTGAATTAATGTAAAATGTCTGATCAAGAGTCAAGTCAAACCTGATTTCACACACTCACAGATATCAGTCTTCTCTCTGTCATCAAGATCCACTAATGATTCCCCGGGAAATTGGTGAAAATGTCAACAAATGTCAACAAATGTCCACAAATGTCAACAAATGTCCTACGTCACAGTGTTAGACAAGCTGAAACTGAAAGTCCCTAATCTGCCCCTGTCTCCCAATTTGGAAAATATCTTTCTTGGCTTATGTCCCATCCCAACCAACAACAAGACCACCAACCAACAAACCAGCTAACAAACCACACAACCAACAAACCAGCTAACAAACCAATAAACCAACCATAAAAAAAGAACAAACCGACAAACAGACCAGACAACAAGTATTAAACAAACCATAAACAAGCCAACGAAGCAACAAACAAACAAACCAACCAACAAGCAGTTCATAATTTAAAAATCAGTCGTCTCATCATAATATAACAAAATAAACGTTACATATTTATAATACTGAGATAATTTGCATGAAAATCAGTTTCCCTATGATCCATCATCTGAGAATCTCGAAGATGACCGTGACCAATTGTTCCCCAGTCGTTACACAAAAGTCCAGTTCCACCGTCACAGCCGACGAGAAGACGCAGGGTGAAGGTGGAGAACCTCTTTCCTGCGGCAGGTGTTCTGCTCTTGAGATTCTGAAGAGCTTTGGACACAAGTGGTTTTTTGAAAGAGGAGCCGTGCTACAAAGACTCACACAGTCAGAGAACTTTTAATTTAGTTCCGTCCTCACAAGTGTGTGTCCTTGTTTGACAGCTTTGACCTGCCACCAGACGGTTTCCAGTCCCGATTCATGGAGCCGCCTCTCTTTTCTGCGTTAAGTGATGTCTGGTGTTCTGGCTGTTTGAATAACTCTCTGTCCTCGGTGGACTTCTGTCAGTTCACTCAATCTGCTTTGAAAACCTTTATGAAAGTCGTGACTGTGCCGCTTCCTCCAGAACTGACACATGCGTCTTATTAGCATTCAGCTTTGTGTCTGTGTGGATTTTCTTTTTTTTTTTTTTTTTTCCAAACGGCCTCTCTCTCCTCTATAAATGTCTCCTCCACAGTCACACTTGCATAATATGACCGTGAACCTCCGCATTTATGAGGTCTCGGTTTCATAAACGTGTTTTCCTCTCTCTCTCTCTCTCTCTCTCCTCTGTCCTCTGTGTTGTCTCTGCCCCTCTCTCATCTATCTCCAGGACACGGCTCAGTGGACCGATGGCAGTTGCCGTGAGTGTGAATGCCGCGATGCCCAGGTGACTTGTTATCTGCGGTCCTGCCCCACCTGTCCTGCAGGCACCCTGGCTGTCACCCAGGAGGGCCGGTGCTGCCCCGAGTGTCAGCAAGGTACGTCACTGCAAAGTGTGTGTGTGTGTGTGTGTGTGTGTGTGCGGCCTCTTCTGCAGCATTGCTCTGTTCTGTCAAACCGGTTGGTTTTTAATGATTTCATCCAGGATGAGCTCCATCCTTCATTCAACGCCGGCCTGTGTTTAGATTCACCTCATGTCTGTGTGCACGTAAACTCGGATGAAGTTCACCTGGATGTTTCCTCAAGGCCGTTAGAGTCTCTTTATGATGATGTGTTATTATATTTAGTTATTTATGCACGACCCACAAACAGGACTGTGTTTATACAGAGCGCTCCAGTCTTATCGACCACCTGGATGTCGCCCATACACCCACGCACATTCCAGCAGCGCTTCTATAAACACTTTCTTTCCATCGCACCAATCACACACACACACACACACACACACACACACACACACACACACACTGTTGGCCCTGGACACTCTCCACCTCCTCATCTGCCCCACAACAACAAAACACGTATTTACTTTTACTGCACACGTCAAACAAACAAGTATCTTCATATCCGATCAGTTTAAGGCGCTCCCGCCCGTCGCTCGACGAAGTAATGTTTGAATAACAGCTCTTCCATTTGTTTTGCTGCCAGTGATTCCGTAACGATGTTACAGTGGAAATGAAAGTCGACCGGTTCATTTTTTTCCGTTAATGCAATTTATGCAAAAATAATCAGATGCACGCTTGTCTACGAACCAATCAGTGTCAAGTAACGTTAGATGTTCATATGTGAAATCAAATCAAAACAATGGAACAAAGACGTTCAGGTGTGAAAACGTCCTTACATCGAATATGTTAAATATAAATAAACATACATTTACACTATATATATATATATAGTAAAAATATACAATTCCTCTCTAATGACTTATTTATCCCTGACTGAATCCAACTTCAACCCCTTTACATTCTCATAGTTTTGTAAATTTGACCTTAAATGATTTTGAATTGATTTGATTTTGTTCTCGTTGATGGCTTTTAAAACATAATAAAACATTCAGATCCTCCTGTGAAGTCGTATCTGAAGGGAAGATGTGGATTTCCAGCATTTGAGTTTCAAGGCAGTGGATGAAAAAATAATCAGGATACGATCATGCCTCAGTTTCTCCGGTGACATTTGTCCTCAGATACTCCAACAACACTTTTAAGACAACAGGGATCAGCCCTGGAAATGTCCTTTTACAGGAATATCACATCTCTGCACCCTTGTTTCAGAATCACATTGTTTTTGTAGTCTCTCGGTTTGATTGCTGGTGCAGCCGTCAGATGGAAGTCGTTCTCACTCTTTTCTTGGGTGGAATTGACACTAAAACCTTCACTTTTCTCTCTAACTCCACTCTTGACAGAACAATCTTCAAATGTTGAACACCAGCATCCATTAGAATACAAATATCTACCAACAAACAAGTACAAACGTGTAGAATCTACAGTTCTCTGTGCACAAGTATCTGTGTTTTCTTGCAGTGTGGGTGTTTTTGCAGATTTTCTTATTCGAAAAACCAGTTGGTCATTTGAATAAAGGGCATTGCAGGAGGAACATGTGAACATGAGCTCTGTGATTGTGCAGCTCGGGGGTGAATGAATATCTTTTGTCTTTTTATGGTGAAGCACTTTCCCTTTAGTTCTCTAGAAAGATGCTGCCGGTGTATAAATACCCGGCTAAAAATACTGCACATGTAAATGAGAAGCCGGTTGGATAAATAGAGAAGAGAGTGGGAGGGAGGGAGGGAGGGAGGGAGGGAGGCTCGTAAACAGAGAGACAGAGGGAGTTTATAGATGTGCACGGCCGTCGGACGAAATCCAAATTGTCCTTGGGGAGGGAGGAGGGCAGTGCTGGCCGAGCTGTACGTTCCACTCTGCCATCACCTGAGGACAGAGACTCACAGTCAATATAAAGCCTCCTCCGTCTGCCACTGCTTTTAACTGGGATTTCAGCCTTTGCTCAAATTCATCATGTATTTTTTTTTACATTCACTTCTACATATTAACAGTAAACCGGCCGTGCTGTGGATTTCAGGCTCTGTTTGATGGCATGCTTTATTTCTCCAATTATTTTTCAAACAGCGAAGGCATCTTTTGAAGTTGAGGTATTCCCTGAATATGCGGTTTTTACGGCACAATAGTTTAAAAAGAAGTGAAAACTTTCTGAACACAGCTGCTCGTCGCCTCCCTGGGGCCTTAAAGGAACGTGAAATGGGAAATGAATTTCACTTTGTCTGCGTATTTTCCCGCAGCAGAATCTACAACCTCTTTAACAATTAATGGATGTGAAATAATAGGGTGGGAGCGACTTCAGGGAATAAACTACTGAGTCTCCGAGGGGCCGAGGTCGAGTTACTTTGTCTGACGAGCTAAACGAAGAGATTCGCTGAGATCCAGAATAATTCAAAAAGATGATAAATAATAATAAACACAGCTCAACTTATATTTAATGTTCATAAATTCACTGTAACTATAATCACCCAATGTTACCCATCACTGTAGTAACCAATAATAACACCAGACCACAACAAACACAGGACTACGATAGAGAGTACATTCATGGCTCCTGACTCTGTGTTTACAAATGACATCATCCTTGAGTTCAAGTGTGAGATGTCGTAAAGTTGCTTCAGACATTCCTGATATATCACAACGTGAGGTCACGTGACCCCGGCCTTTTGATGTTTGACCACCAAAATATAATCTGTTCATCTCCGAGTGAAGGTTTTTTACCAAATTTAAAGAAATTCCCTCAAGGTGACGGACGCATAAAAACCACAATCTTCTCTTCCTCCCTTTTTCATTCGACGTGTTTCAACAGGAAATAACACAAATGAATAAAGTCAACTCACCGAGGCGTCGGACTGTGACTTTAAACGTATCTCCTGCTGTGAGACAGACGCATCACAGCCTTTATGTTTCTCTTCCTGAAATAATCCTGATCCGTTCGTCTAATTGACTGAAAATGGGAATGCAGACCGTCACTAATTACAAATAAACAAACCTATGTTATTCTGTCCTATAGATAAATTCCCCAACAGGCAATTAAACAGAAGGATAACATTGTTTACATTTCTGAAGACTCATAATTAAGTTTTGCTGCATGAATGAATAATTACATTTGGGCCGCGGAGACGTTTTTTAAATTTTTATTATTGCACCGTTCATTCGGGGTGTTTGTGATCATGAAGCTTTATGAGGTCGGATTGGATGAAGTATTTTTGTTGTCCGCTCGTGTCCGTGCCCCCCTCGACAGTCTTGTTGCTCTCTTAGGTTTTGGGATTTAAAGCGTTTCTCTGCAGCCGCATATTAAAATGTCTAAAAGCTTAAAAACGCCGTATATATTCTCAGGCACATGCAACAGTCTCATTAGTCCGAGTAAACAACAGAGGGAAACCAATAAAATGTTATATCCTGAAGTAGCCACTTATTTTTGCATCTGAAGACTCAGTCAAAAATTATTTCAAATAAACGATTCTTAATTCAACAGATTAACTAAACAGCATATTGGCTGTTAACGGCATTCACAGGCTCGTGCGGTTAATATTCAGCTCATTTGTGTGTTAAGCTCACATGCAGACAGTTTGTAACGGGGACAGAAAGATTTAGCGCGAGGCAGTAAAACGTGTCTGGAGGTGGACGAGGGTCAGGCTGATGAATCTGTGGTTTATCGCTCTCGTCTCCTGTGTCTCTGTTCAACTTTAACAACAATAAAAAGTGTTTTTTACGCATCAGGTTCGGGTGAAAAGGGAATTGATTCAAGAGGAATCAGTTATTTTGACATAATCCAATCTGCGTTTTGTCTTTCACGTGTTTAAAAAACGTGTTTTTCACTGGAGGGGGACTTTAAAGTTAATACCAGGACAATAAACAGCGACTTATGGCTTCTTGTCACATTTCAGAAAGGGAACAGTTGCATTTTCCTTCTAAAACCTCTCAGATGGTTTCAATTCAAATATCTCTCTGTGACTCTTAAGATGTCAAATTATATTCCACCAAAAAAAAGCTGAAATTCGAGGTTTCAGGTTCACGTTATTTCTTCTTCCTCTTTTAATAAAACACATAAACAGAATATCTGTGAAACCTTTTAATCCGCGTTAGCTGTCGGGGTCCTAATGAACCAAGTGAGTGAAGAATGAAATGGAAAACCTTTCTGAGAACGACGAGCTGAAACACCCAGGGTGCTTTTTAATTTTCTGTCTTTGTCACTTTAAAACATCCACGTTCACGTGCCCACCTTCTTCCTTCATCTCGATCTTCTCACATTCCGCCTCTTTGTGTACCTCGCACTTGATGTGTAGGCAAAACACACGTGTGTGCGTGTTAATAGCTGCGGTGTGAGGAGGGACGTGTGTGGTCTACGTGTGATTATCACGTGTGTCAGTGTATGGTTTAATAATAGTAACGTGTGATTTACGTGTTTCGCGCGTGTGCACCCGTCATCACTTCTCGGCCTGTGTGCGTTCATGTGTTTGTCAGTTGTGCTTCGTAGCCCCATGATGCACCATGGTGCATACATTATACACACATGCCTGGACAAAATGATTTAAACATGATGTCCCCACTTTCACTCGTTAACCGTCTGTCGGCCTGGCTGGGGATAACATGTCCTGACGGTGCTGAAAATGGAAGAAGGAGGAACATATGTTCTCTTTCTCTTCCTCTTTCCCCAACTGTAAATCTTTCTTCGAGCCGATTAATCTTGGCCGTCCACGGGCCCAGAGGTCGGCAGCCTCTCGTAACCGGGAGAGCTGCTGCGTTCACGTCTCGAGGGAGCTGCTGTGGATGTTCACTTCCTCTCTGACCCGGCGTGAGCCTCTTTTCACGTAGGTGTCTCGTACCAGTGTGAGGATTTTCCGAGTGATGCATCGTTGTATGTTCAGGGTGAGGATGAGTTCTCTGTTGCCAGGTGACGGCGCTCGGTCAGGGCCACTTACTGTAATCAGAGGTTTCTTTGTCTTGTTGGTATGTTTGGATTAAATAACATCTATTTCTGAAACCGTCTTCTTCAAACCGAGCAGGTGTGTTGCCGGGCTCCAGAGGAAGGCGGTGCATTTAGAAACACATGAAACGTTCAATATTAATACATTTTGAATAAACAGGCAACTGTTGTAAGTGACTTAATCAATCACAACAGCTGCTTCCACAGCTCAGGCTTCTGAGTTCTGCCGAGCGTGATGAGCGTCTTTATTTACAGTCCATGGTCGAGCTTCATCGAACTTCAGACGAACAGGTGAACGGGTGTTTGTGCAGCAGTGGGGGTGCAGCAGTGGGGGTGCAGCTTCAGGCTGACGAGGCTCCAGCTCAGTTTAGTCACTTAATCCTGTCAATGTTTCAGTGTTTTCATCAACAGAGTTTTAACGGTTTCGATGCAGCTCGGAGTTTTATTGTGTTGGTTAAAGAGCCTCATGTCTGAAATCCTCGCAGCAGACTGAGCGACCGAGCGGTGCACAACCTTCTTTTAACGGGAATCAGGGTGTGAAACGATGATGATTCACCGGCCAAAACACTCTGGTGAACGCCGGCGGTGGTTGGTAAAGTGTTTCATGTGTTTGTGGCAGGTAGCCCGTCTCAGCCCGGATGTCAGGATCGTGCCAACAGTGTAATTGGCAGGTGTTTGTTTCCTCCTGTATATTTCCAGTGAGGCTGTTTGACAGTGTTTCTGCTGAATATCAACACATCTGCGGCGTCGCACAGCGAGAACGAACTCAACTTCTGCCGTAACTGTAGGTGAAGCTGTTCAGACCTCCGGCTCGCTCGTTCACGAGCGTTGCTGTTAATCACGGCTGCAGTTTTTAATTTTGTGCTCCAGAGATTCTTGCCGGCTGTGCTTGCGAGGAAATTGAGGAGCGAGTGTGTGTGAACTTGCTGGAAACGGTGGCGTGCATCACAGAGCGCCGCGGCTGAACTCGCGCTCTCACGTGGCTTTTATCATTGAAACAAACAAAAAAAAAAAGAATTTCTCGTCTGTGAAAACACACAAGAAATGATCTTGTAACGAAACCTCATACTTCTGACAAGGCCAAACAGTCCCCTTGTTTAAACCACATCCAAATTCACTAGGTCTGTTTCATCTTTAAAGTTTTTTCTGTTTTTTTTTTTCCCCTGTTTAATATCCGGGCATTTCTTTACTGCAGAAAAGGTTCAGGATAGATGCACGGAGGAAGTCATCCACAGCCACAGAACCAGACTGTGCAGGAGATTGTCACGTTACTCGAGCTGCAGCGACGGACACGGCTGAACAGAGAGATAAACACCTGACTGATATTTCTAATAGCCAATATTCCTGTCAGTGGGCCAGAACGTGCACCGCTAAGTATCTCAATCTCCCACTTTTCTCACTCCGCTTCTTCCTCCTCCTCCTCCTCGTGACTCTCGAAGCTCCGTCAGGCGGAAGATGGAGGTCGGGATGAAATGTCAAAAAACAGGAATGACTGACATATAGAAGCAAAATGGATGGTGGAAGAAAGATGGAGAGGGGATAATGAGGGACACTCAAGTGAGAAATAGAGCTGCTGAGGACAGTACGTTCTGTCTCACTGACGTCTTATTGAGCATTAAAGCTAAAGTCTCACCTCCATCTTTCTCTTTCACGCCTTCACCCCACTTCATGTGTTTTTATTTTTACCCTCAGTCTCTCAGTCTTGTCAAAGTCTGTGAGATAAAACTTGAAAAATGAAACTGAAAAAAAAACGTTTGAAAGGTTTTAAATCTATTTAAAAAAGGTTTTGCACGATTAAATTCTTGTTTTCAAATCGCCTGCAAACATTATTTTTCTTCTTCAGAAGTGTTTCTCCATGTTTACGGGTCATTTGTCACTTTTCACTTTTCTCTGCCCGGTTTAAAACCTTGTAAATGCCTGTCCCCGAAAAAATAAAATCTGCAGAATGTCTGAATGAGCCGATGTGAGAGCGTGTAGCGTGAGAAAACATCTCGAAGAAAAGTTCGGCCCCTTTTAATGGACAAAGCGATGTCTGTTCTGTGATCACTTCTCATTCTGTTGATAAAACTTGGTTAAGTGTTTCTGGACTTTTGAATATTCATAGATTCCTCCTTTAATTACAGTCAAATGAAAGAAACAGGCTCCTGCATTGGAGAAACGGTGAAGCAGCTCTGTGGGCAGGGAAGCACTTTACACTTCATCGCTAAACGCCCGGGTGGAGCAGTTGGTCGACAGCAGAGGACCGTGCGTGTACTTAAAAACTCCCTGTGGGTCGCACTCAGTGGAGCTCCACCAACACAGGCTGCTTCCACAGAAGCAAACGCACCGGATGGAATGTGTTGAAATAATTAATTATTCGTGTGTTTGAGGGTTTGTTCAATTGAATCCCCCTCCGCAAAATGAATTTCAACGCAAAGTCAAATCTGGTCGGGAGAATTCGCATGAAATTAAATGATAATGCGAGGCAGCGTGTGTGAGTGACTTGCGTCCAGCTGAGATGTACGCGGCGAAATTAGCATGAAATTGAATATTAGAATGTCTGTGTGTGTGTGTGTGTGTGTGTGTCTTCTGTTTGTAGTAAAGTTGATTTCTTCCAGAGAACACAGACATATTGAGTTTTTTCCTCTGTGTGTGTTTTCCAGTTCAGTGTCACGCTGACTGTCTGTCATGTTCCGGAACTCCTGACCACTGTGAGAGCTGCAGGGACCCGAAGGCCGTCCTCCATCTTGGCCGCTGTCTGTCCATCTGTCCGGCTGGAAACTATCCAGAAGGACGAGTGTGTAAAGGTAGGATTTTAAATTTTTTTAAATATTTTCTTTTCTTCAGCTTTATGCTTTAAAATAAACCGTAAAGTATCTATATTCATTTAAAGTTAAACATTACAGCTTCCAAAAGTTCTCAGATGTGACTTGGACCAAATCAAAGTTAAAGTTGACGACAGTCATCAAATAAGTTTCTTAAAAGTTTGGTTTTAATTGGTGATTTGATAAAAACAAGTTGAAACACTAAGATTGACAGTTGAGAGGAGAGAATATGAACTTTCTCTTTCCAACCATTGTAATATCTCTGCTGCAGTTAGAACTCTGTCCTCTCAATAAAAGACCCAATACTGCAAATCATCCTGTAATTTAGCCGTGTGAGTTATATTCTTATTCCTAGAGGCTCCACGGAGCTTCTATGTTCCGCTCACCTCAGGTTTCAGCCTCAGGTTTGGTGTCTTCACCCACGCAACTCACGTTTCACTGCTTTCACGGTCGTCTCTCGTCGCGGCTCCGTGACGGCAGCTGAAGTTAAATCTAACCTCTTCACATTGTAGCTGCTAAAAACAGACAAATCCTTTGGATCCACATTTAAATGGAAATATTTGGAAGAGTCAAAGTGCAGCAGTGAGCTTGAATTAAAATTCAGGACTGCAGCGGAGGCTCCATCTGGGTTCATAGTGTGTGTGTGTGTGTGTGTGTGTGTATCTCATGTCTATTTTTTCCCTCCTCATCCTTTTTGAGTGTGTGTGTGTGTGTGCGTATTCGTTCCTGGTCACATTTGACTTGAAAACCAGCCGCGCCACCTCGACCGGGCGTTGACCCGCGACGGCCGTAATCTTCTTAGCATTTCAGTCTGTTGAAACCCAACCATCCGTCGTCCCTTCACGTTGACCCGTTCTCCATCTCGAACCCAGACCTCAGACGCCCGCAGCTTTTCATGAAGCTGTAAACAAAACGCCCCGACGCCGTTAAGGCTCTCAGCCGCAGATAAAGGTATTAACTCCGGGGCTTAGGATCCTGAATGTGTGGGGCTGTGTATGAATGGAGCCGCTGTCATAAAAACTTCACTCAACCAGGAAAGTGTCTCTTTAAATCTCGGAGTGTGGTTCCTGCTCCGTGAGCAGTTTGTTCATTGTAAGAGATAAAACTATTTTTATTGTCACTCGGTTTATCACATCAGTGTTTAATGACACTGGACGTTCTGCAGAATGTGGATATAGATCTTTACTTCTAATACATCTATTGAAGATGAGTACGTTTAAAATCTTTGACCCAAATTTGCAGCCGACTCATTCTGATAATATGAATTCATATTTAGGAATGAAGAACCCAGAATGACGTCTGTCGTTTCTGTATTCAAACATTCAGTGTTTCAGTGTTTATCAGACAGTGAGTCATCATGAGTTTAAAAAGTAAATCATTTCTTGATATTTAACTTGGTGTGTGTGGGCGACCGAAGTAAACCCGTCCTCGGAACTAAAACACTTGTTGTTTTTTAAAGCGCTGTATGAATAACTGACTTCATCTCTTCTTCCTGATCTGTTGGGGTTCGTCTCTCTATCGTCTTCATCACCGTCGTCATGATGAGATCTCTCTCTCTCTCTCTCTCTCTTTCTCTCTCTCTCAGTGTGAGTGGGCGGTTCCGAGGTTTTAAAGGGGATTTAGTTGCTTTTTTTTTCTTGAGATTTCTGGATGACAGTAAATCTCCTCCTGTTCCATGAACGCTGGTTTCATTATTGTTCGCGGAGAGGAAATTACGTTGCACCACACAGACGTGTTTCATTAGAGTATGTGGATGAAGCAATGAATTTCTTATTTCTCTGAGGGATATCGTTCACGTCAGTGGGTTTATGTCTATTTTAATCCATTTTTTAAATAAAAAACAACTCGACCTACATTATGTTTTTGTTGACTTGTGGAAAAACGGACTTCCTGAATAAAAAAAGAATTCATGACTTCATCCTCCGACATGATTTTGTCGCCGTGTCGCCGCAGTTTTCCGCCTTGAGAACGCAAAATCTCGGGAATACCTTCAGGAAACCATAGACTCACAGATTAACTGATGAGATCTGGGAGGTCAAAGGTCACGGTGGCCAAGTTCTCCGAGGAGCTGTTTGAGTTATATATATATATATATCTATCCGCACTTCTTTGAGGATTTAAACATGGGCTTTAGTTGAGTTTTGAATGAAAGATTCAAGTTTAAATACCTGGATTCCTCTGGAACATCCCAGACTTAAAATCGACCCCAGGTCTGTTTATACATTTCACCTGTGATGACGTGCACATCCCGGTTCTCGTGTTTCTCTTCCCTCCTCTATGACCACGTGATGACAGGTCGTCCTCAAACCACGGACAAAGAAAATACATTTTTGATGTGACAGACCCCCCCCCCCCTCTCTCTCTCTCCTCCTCTGCAGCCTGCCACTCGACCTGCTCCGCCTGTTCCAGCCGGTGGGACTGTCAGTCCTGCGGCTCCCAGAAGGCCCTGCTGAGCGCCGAGCGTGACCAGTGCCTGACCTACTGTCCCCCCGGCTCCTACCAGCACGACCAGACACACTGTCGCCGTGAGTACCTCCTCTCGCCCTGTGGTTTCCTGTGCTCCGTGGGCAGCACTGTTCAAACTGGTTCCCTGGCTCAGATTCAAACACAGAACCGATCCGTCTGACCTTCCCCGCTGTCCTCCCCTCGTCCTCTGCCGTCACTTTTCGTCTCCTTGTGTCCGCACATGTGGTTTTGTCTCCTCGTCTCGTATCCAACCCTGTACTCTGACATTTCTTTATGCAAAAACACCAGCTCCAATATATCTCAGTCGAATACGTTCGGATCAACTTGGGGCACAAAGTGCATCTGCAGTTCAGCAACAACAGCTGAAATCAACTCTGTGTGTCGTGTTTCCAGTGGCTCGGTCATCAGAGGATGTTCTGACTGAATATTTGACTATTTCTTACTCATGAATCTCTCAGGGGGCCGAAGATTGTTGTAGTGTCGTAGTTTTCCTGACACAGTTGTCGTTGGGAGACACTTGTGTTACCGTCTCACTTTACTGAACCGATCCTACACTTTGGCTCAATCTCACCGGGGGGGTGGTTCGGAAAAGTTAGTTAAGTTTAGCTGCGTTTTAGAAAATACACAAATGTTTCTTTTTCATCCTCATATATTTGTCCGTGTGCTTCTTGTTCCTCCTCATTTGTGAAAGAAGATTTTTTTTTAAAAAAGCGTTTGAAAGTGGATTTGGAATGAAAATTTAATTCACATGAAAATTAGAAAGTTTTAATTATCTTTTTTTTTTTTTTTTTTTTCAAAGGTTTTTTTCTTCTTCTTCTTGTTTCATTCACTTTGCTTTGCTCTCTGCTCCTGTCACACACTCCACATCCACAGGAAACAAATAAGTCTCCACCAGGGAAAAATCCATGAGAAAGAAAGAACTGAGTTTTCAAACCTTTCAAAGTCTTGAATTCATTTTTAACTATGTGTGAAAAAAAAACGTAAATGTTTTTAAATGAACTAAATCCAGATTTACGGATTATACTAATTTGTTTATTAGCAGGAAAACGCAAAATTTATTTAAACCGATTTCCATGAAAGTTTGCGGGCGACTCTAAATGTGGTTTTCATGAGGGGACTGTTGAAAGTGAAATACAAGTATAAATACTCCACCCTTCCACCCAGTTTCAATAAAATCACTTCAGTAGATTAATGCATGCTTGTTTTATCACCAAGAGGCTCTGCAGTCGTAACAGTGGATAAAAGAAACCGGAGATCCTGCTGTACAACGTGCTAATCCAGGGTAACTGCACAACGAGGGCCCTCTGCATCAGTTACTCAGCTAATCAACCTCACAGGTCTCTCAACGCTGCAAAGCCTGGACCACAAAAATCAAACCGCAGCTCTAAACCGTGTGCAGACCCCCGAAGGGAAGCTAATGTACACCGAACAGTTCGGCCGAGCGCCTCCATCGAGTCGGGGAAAGACCTGCAGAGCCTCCCGGGGATGATGGTATAGAAACAGAGAGAGGGGGAGAGGGGGAGAGAATAACCACAGTGCGATTAAATTCAGGCCAGTTTTGCGGCTCAATTTCACACCTTAATGAATATTGTCAGGAGGGTTGGAATTCCAGACCTCCCCGCGAACGAGCTCCTTGGACGAGATTAAGCAGGATAGATCTCGGCAGCCGTTGTAGGAATCCAGCTTTGTGTTATCTCGCCTCCATCCATCCAGCTTCCTGCGCCGCGTACAGCTCGGGCTATTGTGCAAACCCCTCGTGGAAATCCCACTTTATGCATTTATGCTTCCTCTGTCCTGCTTCGGTGCCGCAGACGCCGGCGGCTTCTATTGAAAAAAAAAAAATCCCCTCTCATGCATTAATCCAGAATCCTGACTGTATTATCGCCGCAGATGCTCCACTCTCCGGTGGTGCACAGTTAAATTAGATGTGTACAGTGGCAGCAGTTATGCAAGACGTCCCCTGTCATGCATTTATTCTGCATCTATCCTGGTTTGATTCTGCAGAAAATCAAATCATCTGTGATTCACGAATCAAACCCTCCGTGTGTCTCATCCACACCACAACGTTTCTGTTAACGGATTCACTTGACGTCCACAGCTCCAGAGTTTTTAAGTTTTAGTGGGGACGGGAAGAGACGGAGATGTTTTGATACTGATATACATCTTCAAGTGTGGACGTGGATTAGAAATCGCTTTAGTTTGAAAACCTCGTTTTTAAAAGTAGTCGTACGGATGAAGTCTCAGATCACTTCTCTCTTCCTCTGACCTTTGAGCGTCTTTAATTAGAGGAAAGTCTAAATCTTTTTCCGAGCAGCTTCTCCAGGAGACGCAGCAGAGGAGCAACTGTTTATGAGGTGCTGGGGAGGTGCGGGGGAGGTTTACGGTGGATTGTTGTTTCCTGGCAGAGGACCAGGACCACCCAGAGCCTGGTGTGTCGCTGCAGGCCTCCCCGGGGCTTTTGTTCACGCTCTCTGGCTCCCGACTTTACTGCGTCTGCCTGTGCATGTATTAAGAGTCAGCTCGTTAATAATTATGGGCGGGTGTTGTGCTAAAGACATTGTCCTCTCCTGTTCCCCTGTCTCCTTTTATTCTCGTCCTCTTTAACCAGCTTCTCCTTATATCCCCTCTCGTCTCTAACATCAACACAAACTGTGCATCTCCCGACAACGTGTCTGCGTGAGTCAGGGAGGGAAAGACAAAATAAATAGCTTGGACGATACAGCAGATTCCTCAACACGTCTATTTTGATTAATCTATGTTGTGCAGCTGCAGAGTCAAAACAAAGTGATTATCTTTCGAGCTTCCTGTTAAAGGGAGAAGATAACAGTGTTTGAGAGGTCTGCCGAGAAACAGCAACGTGCAGTATCTCTGCAGACGCACATTAAAAAAGCCTCAACAGATTCGGGACGTTTACGCAAAGTTTGTTTTCCCGTTTGCAATTAAAAAAAGATCGTGTTCTTCATCAGTTAAACTACGAGGTTGGACCAAAGTCTGTAAAGTCACAGCTGAGGCAGAACAAACTGTCGCCATAGAATGAATGTTAAATATTAAAAATGTAATATTAAAATCTATCGACAGTTATTACGTTTCATTCTGCTGCTGCTCATTCTCACGCTGTAGTTTCCCGTGCACTGTGTATCACAGTGTAGTTGTCGTCATCTCGCCGTATCCGTCGTATCGTAGCGATGACGTTGTCTCTGCAGCGGCTTCGGTCGTCTGCTTCTCAAATGGAAATCGAGCTTCGTGCTTTTTTCTCTGCGGCCATTCTGAATAATTCACATTCAAACCTGCTGCAGCATCTGATTCCGAGAAGAGGAGTTTTTCAACTGAAGCTCCTGTTTCATACTTTTACATCTTTTCCTCCTGAGCTGAGTTTAATTACTGAATCTCTCGTCCCGTCTCGTTGTATCACTCGAGGTTCAAGGTGTGTGTGTGTGTGTGTGAGAGGCAGTAAGTGTGTGTCCCCCCCCCCCCTCGTCCCAGAAGGACAGAGAGTGAATATTATCTGCTGCACCTTGTGGCTGTGTATTCATCCCCCCCCCTCCCCCACCCTCCCATGTATGCAGAGCGGGCTTTACAAATGCTTTTTTGGCAACTGTCCTGTTGGGATTACATTTGCTGATAACTTTGCTCTTTGGGCGGCACAGGAAAATAAATTGCTTTCCTGTGAGGGGCAAGGTAGAGGAGTTGTAATCCCCCTGTTGGCTATAACCATTTTTGTAGAGCGAGTGTGTGGAGTGACCCAGTCATGGAGTCACATCGTGTACAGGAAGCTGGCAAATGCCTTCTCTTGGGGTTTTTTTTTTTTTGCTTCATCTGCAAAAAATTTTAAATTCCCAGCTGGAAGGGATTTATTATTTAAAATGGAAAAAAAAAAAAAAAGAGTGAATTTAGTTGCCAATACTGTGATTCTGCAATGAACTGTGGGAAATGTGCAGCGGCCGAGTGAGGAGGTAATGACCGTATTAAGTCTTTATTTGCGGATTTTTCTGCAGGACTGTGCATCATCGTGTTTCTCGAGCCTCTGTGGAAACTCGACACTGCGAAGAAGACGAGGGCGTCTAGAAAGAAGGACATTAAAATTGAACAAGGGTGTGAAGAGATGGAGAAAAGAAAAAGACTTGAGAGAGAGAGAAACAGACGCACTCACACAGAGAGAAAGAGTAATGACAAGAAATCTGGTGTGAAGCTCGAGAGAGGCCAGAGGGCTGAGGCAAGAAAGAGGCTGGGACAGAGAGAAGAGAGCGTCGTGGGACGAGAGGGCTGCACGTCTTCAGAAACAGAGACAGAGACGGGGAGGTGTTAGAAAGGAAACAAGAAGTGCTGAGGAGCATAAAAACTGAAGAGTGGGGCCGGGGAAGTATTTCAGCTGTCAGTCTACCTGTTGGGTTCCAATCTTCAGCGGAAACTTTTCCCTCAGAGCCGAACAAGAAACTTTACTTCGCTGTGACTTTGGGACGAAGTGTGATTACTGCAGCAATTTACACTGAATACTTCGCAACTGACTGACGACGACTCGACAAACTTAGGTTTTGTTTTGCTCGGTTCAGCGTCCAGACTACAAATTTACTGCAAAATATCTGAACGAGAGTTAAAAATCAAACGGGAGATTGATTTCAGTGCAGACAAAATGTTAGCAGTTTTTTAGACGTGTTCTCATTTTACAAACATGGAGCCAAAATATTCTGGACGACGGTAAAATAAGGTAAAATAATTTGAAGCCAGAGTCTTGAGAGAATTCTTGTGAATGCCAACGTCGTCAAGTTGGGAAAAACTCGCGATGTTGGTGAAAAGTTCGGAACAAGAGTCGCAGAGTTACTGACGTCATCACGCAGACAAAGTGAAATCGGAGCAACGACTTCACAACTCGGGGAATTTGACTTCGTGAGGACGACGTGAACACACGATGATTCTCAGTTCATCATCATCACACGTGATTATCGAGCAGATTTGAGTCGAACACCAGAGTTGATATTCTTCTTAAAGTCGTCCTCTGTGATATAAAAATGTAAATGCATTGTATTTTACAGTTTTTTGGGGATAAGACATTCAAAACCCACCAGCGTGGTCCTTTAAATCACCCAGTGTCAGTGATTTAAATCCCACGCTGGTAGAGAAGATAGATTTATCCACCCACAGTAAAACGTGTGGAAAACTCAATTTGGCTGCTTGGTCGGTGGTAATTTTTCACCCTGAATGTGAAGAGAAGAGGAAATGGAAGAAAAGAGTGAGACACCAGCGAAGGAGAGGCGGCGTGATTTGTTTAAAAGACTTGAGAATATTCTTTGGATGCTAGTTTACTTTATTTTACATGAATAATAAATAATGTAACACGAAAAGGGACAAATAGTAAAAGGATGGACAAGGCTTTAAATAACTTCCAACAAGTGTCCAGCACAGCGGAAGCTTTAAGACAAAGATTCCGATCTCAGAAAAAGAAATCTTCTAGTGTCTGGTGAAAACCCAGAGGAGACTCGAACAACCTGTTCAGGAAGGATTCAGGAGACAGAAAGGGACTTTTCTTTTTCTGCTGATTGACGGATCGACCCCATCGTGTTTTTCTAGATCAGAAATAAGATCATGTAAATATTCTAACGAGCATGAACTCCCTCTGGTTTTCTTAATGTATGCATTGGAACAGCGGAGCACCAGCTTGTGTTCTTCACAAATCTTTTGTAAGATGTGAAGTAAACATTTGTCTCGGTGCTGAAACAGAGTCGTCACATTCCTCCTGAGTTTTCCTGCAGCGACTGTTTGTTTCGGTCTCTTTCTTTTTTTTTTGGGGGGGGGGGGACTATATTGTGGCATCTGGCCGCTGGGAAACCACACGGGATCAGACCAGTTGGTGCTGGAACAAGGTTTTGAGAGCAGCTATTTGTTCATGCAATGACACACACACACACACACACACACACACACACACACACAGAGATGAATTTGCAGGTGAATACAAAGGCTCAGAAATACACACATTTAATCAGCATTACCACCATTTCATCAAAAAACAAAACTGGATTAATTCACTGGAATTATGACGTGTGTGTCTGTGTGTGTGTGTGTGTGTGTGTGTGTGTGTGTG